ATATATATATAAACTAAAAGAGGAAAACAGAGGCTTAGATATCAGCTAAGATACAGCTTGCAGAATCTTAGTTTAGATTAAGGTACCTAAACACTTCTGAAGTACTCTGATCTTGCTTTGTATAGGTTACATCAACAATTCTTCAGAGTAAAAGAAGACAGTAGTTACTGAAACATACCATTTATTAACCACAACAGGGTTGCAGGTTACCATCATGTAGAATTGCATACTTAAGTCTGCATATGAACGAAAAGTGGAATGCATGTGCCTGTGCACGCACCCCTCTCAGACGTGCACTCACGCTTCCCATCTGCCTCAGAACACAGTCACTCGCCAGAGATGGTACTTACAGGTTTTGTAGTCCATTTGGGGTTGGGTAACCAAAATTACTATCCACTTCTGAAAAATAGATGTCTTTATGAGTTACCAGGTATCATGAACAACATGTTTACCTTTGTAAAAATAGCCAGGGGCATACCGTACTGGTCCTCTTCCAACCCAGATATCAGTCCTGGAACAAGAACCGTGTGTCCTGTATTTGCTTGGGGCTGCACAGTGATTGGAAGGCTTTCTGAGCTCATGCCTTCACTCGGAAGGTTTTCAGCCTGTTCTGATGCTGTGTTATCACGTTCTTCTTTCAAATTAGACTCCTCCAAAATGTTCGGATCTAAGGTCTCCCAGTCACTTTCAGAGGACGCTGGAGAAGCGCGGGAAGGAACTTTCAAGTGTTGTATGGTACCGTTGGAGGACTGAGCTCCGTTGCAAGTCTTGTCTGACTGGGAGAAAGGCACGTTTGCTTTTTGACCTTCCAGTGAATGGTTTCCTGCCATCTTCCTGCCTCCCTTTCCCATTCCTACGTTTGTATTTGAAGTATCAGCAGCAGACACAGAAAGAGAGTCACCTAACCGTGGTGTATTTTCCTGCAAGCCAGCATCCTCCGATATGCTCTTTCTTGGTCTGTACTGTGAGCAGTCAGTAAGACCATGTTCAATCATACCTGGAAAATGACAGCATAGACGAGTATCAGCATCTCAATAGAAATTTAGGTGACTTTTGTTAAAGAAAATGAACAAAGTGCTCTTGTGTGCATAGTGGAAATCAGGTATTTTAAAACACTACTTTGGGAAGGGAATGTGTTAAAACAAACAAACAAACAAAACTCCCCCAAAAAACCCGCACAACAAAAAAACCCCACAAAACACAAACCCCACACTTTGTCTCCTAAAAAGCTGCCCCCAATTTTTTGCTTTGAGAAGACTGGTTAGAAGCTAAGAATTAGCAAGGTTAGGGGTTCTGGCTTTTTGTTTGTTTGTTTGTATTTTTTTTTAATTTTTTTTTTTTTTTTTTTTTAAGAGCCCATGTAGAAGGAAGAGGTTTTTGGGGGGTTTTTTTTTTTTTTTTTTTTTTTTTTTTTTTAAGAAACTTGACAGGAATGCATGAATTGATTCAGAGTCCCATCTACGTTACCCATCAGTGGCTCTGATTATGCACAAGAAATAACCCTTAGAGTGCAAGCAATAAGTATCAGGAGATGTGTACATAGTACATGGACATGCAAACAAGTCACCCATTTTCCAGGCAACATATCAACAAAAATCTATTGTCACACAAGTTGTTTTCCAAATGGAATAGCACAGCCAGATGCAGTTATTACCAGAAAGCACATAAAAAGCAGTCCAAACTTCTCTTCTTACCAGGGAAGAGTGACAGGACAGTCATCAGAGCTCCCACCAATCTATTTACTGGAGAAATATAAAACAGCACCTGGTGGCAGAAGGGAGGTGGGTGGGGGGAAGAGAGCATGCAAGAGAGGAAAGGGGAAATAGGGAGAAGAGAATGAGAAAAATAAAATTAAACTTCAGCATGATAGACAGAACACGTGTAAACAATTCAGGGCATTGCTTTTTGTGTTATTTTAGAAAGTCTGCTTAACAACAAAAGCTCTTACAACAGTTTGAAGTAAGTATTTAAATGTCTCTTGTAGCCTTACATAATAGATAGCCTTAAGGCCCCACCTGGAATACTGCGTCCAGTTCTGGAGCCCCCAACATAAGAAAGACATGGACCAGCTAGAACAAGTCCAGAGAAGGGCCACCAGGATGATCCGAGGGCTGGAGCACCTCTCCTATGGGGACAGGCTGAAAGAGTTGGGGCTGTTCAGCCTGGAGAAGAGAAGGCTCTGGGGAGATCTTATAGTGGCCTCCCAGTACCTGAAGGGGCTACAAGAAAGCTGGGGAGGGACTTTTCATAAGGGCAATCAATGACAAAACAAGGGGAAATGGGTTTAAGCTGAAAGAGGGGAGGTTTAGATTAGATATTAGGAAGAAGTTCTTCACTGTGAGGGTGGTGAAACACTGGAACAGGTTGCCCAAGGAAGCTGTGGCTGCTCCTCCCTGGAAGTGTTCAAGGCCAGGTTGGATGAGGCTTTGAGCAACCTGGTCTAGTGGAAGGTGTCCCTGCTGATGGCAGTGGGGTTGGAACTGGATGAGCTTTAACGTCACTTCCAATCCAAACCATTCTATGATTCTATGATTCTATAATATTTGTAATATATATTTATATATACACACACACACGCGTAATATATACTTGTCAATCATTCAGATTTTTCTGTCAGTCAGATTCTCTTCCCAAATTGAGCCAATTCCTGAATGACTGATAGAAAAAGTTGTTCCTGGCATGCCACATGAATTCTTGTTCATTTGTAGTACATTAAAATATCTGTTATAAATCAAAGAGGCCAAATAATCTCCATTCCAAAAATCTGACAAAAACCTATGCAAAAGCACCTCTTCTAAGCAAATGTATGAAGATATGCAGATAAATGAAAAACAGGATAAATGCAGCATATATTTATTACAGGTATCTTCCTATGATTAAAAAAACCCAATTTTTTGGAGAGAGAAGACAGGACTGATACTAACTTTGGTCAAGCACTGAAGGGATAACATGGGGAAACAGAATCACCTTAATTAAATCAGAGAGAGTGGGATTAGTAAATTAGGAATTCAAAAAGGGGGGTGGTCAAAGGCTAGCAATGAAAGAAGAAACACAAGGAAGCCTGGATATTACTACTGGAGTTCCTTCAAGACAGGCCTTCAAGGGGGAGGAAAGAAAAAAACCAACAACACAAAAAACCACAAAGTAACCCAAAACAAAACAAAACAAAACACAAAAGTCAACTTGTTTAACAATGCCATTTGCACATTCTCAAGCAGCAGGATACTACTGAAAAATACATGAGCATTACAAGGAATCAGCAATGCAAAGGAATATGGAATGATCTAACCTGATGACTTTGGAGGCCAGTTTAATAGGTATATGATGAAATTAAAAGTGCAAGTTTGAGGACTTAATAAAAGACTTCTGCTGTGAGCTAGGAAGACACTTTAGAAGCGACTGATGAATAACTCACGTTCTACTAGTATTTGCAAGTCTACAAGCTAGTGAATTGAGGGAACCAGGAGAAAGACATATGCAGTTCTAGTACTTACTGAATGATATTTAATGGTACCTCAGCTAGAAATAAATAGACTATGTATGCTATCTTGCACAACTTTTCTTTTTCCTGTACTCAAGAGAGGTGAATTCAAATTGCAACAGCCACAGAAAAAGCATGATGAGAAGAACAAGCAGCTCATCTGAGGAGAGAATTTTGGCTGACTAATGAGAATAAAAAAGTAACTTCTTTTAAGATGCTGCTCTATAATCACACTCACAGAATCACAGAATGTCAGGGATTGGAAGGGACCTCAAAAGATCATCTAGTCCAACCCCCCTGCCGGAGCAGGAACATAATGCATGTATGAAAGATGTATGACACGATAGCAATGAACTACAACTATGATATCCCTAAAAGTTTAGATTCTCAGATACCATGTACTCCCAGCCAAACTTATGTTTAAGCCCACAGAAATAATTAAGTCTATAAAGAAGAACCTTGTTTTCAAGAAATCTATTTCAGTCTAGTTTTTTGTTTGGGTATACTTAAGCCGAGTGCTTTTCTATATTTGTTCCATCAAGTCCCTCTGCCATCTTTCCATCTGTATGGGTTGCACATTTCCTTACCCCTCCCACCCCTGTTACATGGCCTACAACATTTACATCAGCAAACTGGGTGGTCCTGGCAGCAGAAAGTCAAATGATCACCATATGGAAGTAGTCTTCCAGCCTAACAACAGCTGAGAGGTGAAAAAAAAAATTCCTTTAGCCTGTGGAAAGGCAGCAACAAAATTGCTGAGGATTAAAGGAAATCAGTCTATGGCATTAAAGGCATTTTTCAGCTCAAGGAAAATTGGCATTACTAGTGGCTTCTTGCACATTATATTTAAGGTCTTTGAACATACAGATTCCCACAGTTATTCTGGATCCTTAACATCTCTCAGAAAATCAAAACTCTTCCTTTTGAAATTGCAAGTGTTGTTTTCCCTACGCTCAAACAGGAAGGCCAAAACCAAAGCAGCCTGCAGGTTTATTCAATAAGCATCCAGTTATTTTCAAAACAATTTAATATGTTTGAGTCACATGAACATGCTTGGGAAATCCTCCCTCTCCTGTGATTTATGTCTTGTGGTTTGAGCAGCTCCAGAAAGGGATTGTAGCTCAGTATTTTGTTTATATACGTCCAAATGCTGAACTGACCCGATGAAATGCTATCACACAAGTTTTTAAACAGATCTGTACAGATACTTTACAAAATCTTAACTGGAAAATATTTTTCCACTTATGGTTTAAAAAAAATAAAAATAAAAATCACTGTAGCCTTTCAGAATGTATTAAGTTATTTTTGGGGAAAAGGTTGCATATCAAGTCTTGTTTACATACTTTTCTACATGTATACTCCTATGTCATAATATTATTTTCTCAAGTACACCTTTTGCATAGCCTTTAATATAGCATTCTTTAGCATATGGCTCTTTAATGACTTGAGATACTTTTATTTTACTTTAATCTGGTTTTCACTAGTATATTCTACAAAACTTCCTATGAAAAAAATCTAACAATTGCATTTCTATTTCAATTACCTGCCTCAGCCTACGAAACCTTACCTTTTTCTCTAGAAGAATCAATTTAAAAAGGATCAAGACCTGAAAAAAGATAAAAAGGAAAAACACAGTGAGTGAACCAGTGCCATTTATCAAGAATACTGTGCAAGTATAATCTCTTATTCAAGGCTGCATGTTAATCACTGTATAACTGTCAAAAGATCAAATACATTTGACTAGTGAAAACCAGTGTTCCAATACCCTTTCTCTGCCTGAGCACTCATTTTAAAATAGCATTTAAGACGTAGAAAGAAAACCTGCACAAACAAGAATTGTGTAATTTGAACCATACAAAGCTTATCAGACAGAACACCTTGTGTAATTCCAGAATTTTAAAAAACAGTAAACTGCATAAACACAAAAGAGCTCCTCCACAGAAATACAGAAAAGAATTCAAAGTACCAAGAAGAGCACGCACCTCACCTAATTTTAGGCATCTACAGATGAGGCATCTAGAGATCAGAAGTGGCTTTCCATACTCTCTACACTCAAAGAAAAACACAGACACTTCTGGGCCATGACTGACAGACATCTAAGTTAAACAAAAATGAGTTCTATCCCAAAAATCTACTGAGCAGGCACAAATATACCATGAAATCCAGATTCTCAAATTTGCTTCCTTGGTGCCTCCCAGTTAATAAAAGATTCTAAATACAGTTTGTACCTTAGCTCAATTTCAATAGTCGTTAGCAAAAAGAAGGGGAGGTGCAAATCCCCTCAGCTGCAAAAATTACAAGATTGAGGGAAAAATGCTTCAAGTTGTGTTTGCACAGACTTCAGCACACAGCCAAAACTTCTCAGTCTGGAACTTACTTTCAGAGAAGGGGAAGGGAAATCAGGAGGCTGTAACCAGAAGTACTTAGGGAACAGTCTTCTTACTCCTACCTCAGGTATGTCTAGGCACAGTCTTCTTACTCTTACCTCAGGTATGTCTAGGCACATCTATTTTTCAGTTGCTCACAAAGCATTTTACTCCACAAAGTAAGTGCTGTACTTTATATACCTAGCAGAGAACACCTACCTTGTGTCTGAAGTGAAGAACAAGATCCCGAGGAGAGAGACCTGAGATACCAAAAAGAGAGCAATTATTACAGTTTAACAGCTAGTAGATATACTAACTTACTTCTTGTCACCATTTTTCAGGGAGAGGGGGTCACCGATTATGCATTCTATGTGAACCTGGTTATTTCGACAGCAGAACTCAAATTCTGTCTTTCGAGCAGGAGAAAGAGTTAAATCTACAATGGAGACAGTAATAATGTGAATAGTCACACTCTTGAGTTACTCCTGTTGGCTGTCACATAGCATTATGGCAACACTGAAGTAAATACTACACTGTGTATTCAGAAAGCATGGGGAAGAGTCAGATGAGATGTGAGATATCCCAAATAACAGGCAGATGAAAGCTCGAGCACCTCACACCATCACATAGTTCCATCTGAAAATTAAGATGTTACTGTTGCCCAAGAGCAGCCAAGCAGTTGCTTGTCAGACTGTTAGGTCAAGAAATTACACGGCTTTCAACCTACAGCTAATTTCTATTATGAAAGCAACATTACATTTATTTGGCATTTATTTAAATTCATTAACAAAGAAATGCATAACAGAATATTGTGTAGGCACAGACCTCTGGTGTGCTTAATCTGTTAATGCACATAAAAAAATTAGCTTAGGAAGGGAATGTGTTGATTAGTGTAACATTATCTCTGCTGCTTGTACAAAAAAAAAGTCACTTACCAAGATAAACTTGTGACCCTTCTAGTAAAGTACTGCCCAAGGAACTATTCATATGATCATAAAGTTCCTGTAAAAGTTAGAACAAAGGCAAAAAAACCAGAAGCCGTTAATGGCACGTGGTCACACAAAACCCAGAATAAATAAAACTCACTTATTCAAGGATTTCAACATCTTATTCCAGAAAGAAAGTAAAATTTTATTAATGTAGTCAATGGAGATACAGGCTGACAATCACACTCATTTTTGCATTTCATTACAAACCAGGAAGTTGACCCTCTGTCAGATCAGGGCAGTTCACTTAGTTCATGTGAAGTTATTAAAAGAGCTGAATAACTGAATGACCTATGCAAATGGAGTATTTGAGCACTAACTGAAAATACTCAAGTCCAGAGCCATACACTGAAAGCTTTGCTCCGAGCAGCTATAAATTCAAAGTTACCTTTAGAATTGAAATCTGTGAGAAGTCTTTCTCTTCAAAATAGGCGTGTGTAATGAGCTGCAGCTTTGCCTGTAGTAACCCATATAAAGGCTTGGAAGAAAAACAAACACAAAAACAAGTGAAGAAAACGTATTGAGTAAATTATTTTGAACTTTAATCATGTCCTATTCTTATCTTGCAGTATAGACAAATTATTACACACAGAGTTCATGGAGGGGCACTCCTTAGTTGCTATCTCGCAGCATCTTTCTCCTGTGTTTATTTTAAATGATGATAATTCTATTTTCCTTCCATTTGCACATACCATACAATCACTGAACATCTGCCTGGAAAAGTACTTTCCTGATTTGACACTGATCATGCAGCTCCAGTAACGTTTCTTTCTTCAGCTTTAAGGACAGAATTTTATGTTCCCTGCCTGATGATCAGTAGCTTTTGCTAAATATGTAGAAACACAAGATGTTTCTTCAACATAAGAGTGTGCTGTACACACGATTATCTTAAAACCTCATTCACAGTCGTCAATAGCCACTCTCTCCAGTTATTATAATGGCCAAACCTCTCAATCCTACTACATGAAATAAAGTTAGCAGCACTTAAGAATAATCAAAAGTGCAAACAGATATCACGGACTCTGCCATCAGGCAGACACTTTTACAACTACTCTTCCATGGAGACAGCAATTCAAGGCCGCTCGCTCAAATGCCGTAGCCTTCTGGTTCAATTTCACTTCAGTATTTTGTTACTTTCTGCAACAATTTAAAGAGAGATGTGTCCTGGTTTTGCTAGGGTAGAGTTAATTTTCCTTTTAGTAATTAGAATAGCAGTATTTTACTTTCAGTGTTTCAGTTCAGACTTATCATGAGAAGAATGTTGATAAAATACCAATGTTTTTAGTTACTGCAGCTCAAGGCCACAGTTTGTCTGTTTCACAGCTGCACTAGGACTGGGAGGGGGAAGTGCAGTGAGGAGCAAAACCCAAAACTGGCATCTGGTTGTGCCAATGAAATATTCCATATCATATCACGTCATGCCAGTATATTAACCAGGGTTGACCGGAAGACAGGGCACTTCTCTCGGGGATTGCTCGGGCTCACTCTTCCGGGGTTTCGGTTCGGGACCGTCTCGGCTGCGGGATCGTTAGCTGGCACAGGCTGGGCATCGGTCAGTGGGCGGTGAGCACTGTGTATCACTCATTTGTATAGTCTGTTATTACTGTTGTTATCATTCTCATTTTTCTTTTAATTAGTAAATAGTTTTTATCTCAACCCGTGAGTCCTTGCCCTTCTTTCCAAATTCTCTCCCCTGCTCCCTGGGTGAGGGGGGCGGGAGGGTGATAGAGCAGGCTGTGTTTGGCTGCAAGCAAAAGGGTGAATCCACCCAAACCACCACAAGATGTTTGGAGCCAAAAGTTCCAAATAAGAATATGTAAAACAAATCAATTTTAATACGCTATTTGAAAGTGTTTGGGGAATTAAAACATTCTTACCAGCTGACTGAGAACACAGACACTTTTCTGTACTGTTTCTCGGGTGATGTCGGCTTGCCGTACTTTTAGTGCCTATGAAATAGAAGTATTACAGTGTCTTTACCCACACAGAATTTCAAAAAGAACTCTTTTACGGGTCTAGTTGCCACATACCACCCTCTATTTAAACAAAATCCTACAACTGAATGCCTTCAATGGTGGGATATTCAAGCCCTTACCTAGTAAAAATGGTTCTAACACTTATAGGTCAGAGTTATGTTCTCATCTCACCGTGCACAGCAAAGACCCAAAAAAACCTGTGGCAATAGGCAGGGGACTGTTTAAAAGACATAAGTAGGAGAAAAAAGCAATAGCCCTGGAAAAGGCAACAACATTTTAACTCAGGGTAACGTAACAGAAGAGAAGCCACAGTGCATCACTCATTTTCCTATAAGGTTATCTGGGACTATGGATGAGGTTGAAGTCTTTGCCTAGAAATTGTTTGCTTTATACTTGAGGATTTTCTTTGAGCCACCCATAAAATAAAGGAGGTATCATTTTGCAAAATCAATTACACTTTCAGCCAGACCAAGTGGTTCCAGCACTTAAGAGCAGAGCTGGAAAGGGCGAGAGCAGAAATACAGCCAAGTGATTCATTTAATTGTACAAAACAGCAAGCGTGCAGACTGCAGCCCACACATCAGAAAGGACAGATGGA